CAGCCGACAAGAGAATATGAGACCCTACGGCATTTTACAAGTAATAAACTTTCTGTACGGTTTCGGTGTAGCACATTCATGTTTACAAAATGACTGCTGGTTGTGTTGTCTATTGAAAACAAAAAATTACTGAAAAAAACGAGTTCTTCTAGGAAAATAATAACTACCTCCCCAGTTCACTTCTTCTTCTTGTTTTTCTTGGCAGTAGCAGCACCCGCAGAAGAACTAGAAGCCACATATCCAGGTTGCCGAGTTTTCAATTTAGGGATCATTGAAGCTACGTATTTATACAATGCGGCTCCTGAAAACCGCTTTTATGAGATAACTGAGAAACTGATGCCCTGAATCCATGAGATGGCATTTTGGTGCAAAACACCCAAAACTTGTGAAACCAGGACTTTTTTGTATAAAGAAATGGCTCGTTATCCCTGGAATAGCCAGGATCAAGAGAACACTGAACATTACGGTATACCACGATTCGTACCTCATCCCCCAGCGGTTCTCACATGCCTATACGAAACTGGAAAAAAGAAGAAAAAGGAATAAACAACAAAACGTATAGAAAATGGTAGGAAATGTTAAAACTTACTGGAGGGATAGTCTTTGTTCTTTATCGTTCCATCATCATTCTTAAGCATTACACGTACCCGACCGAGCTTCTCTATTTCACGATCTTGTTCACGAGGATGGAGTTTGCCTCGCTGTAATAGCGAAATTGACCAGAGGATAGTTGCTAAGGATTCGTCAGATACCTCAAGCACGGGATTCAGACCGCTTGCTGTTAGAACATCGAAAATTTCAACTGATGTAGGGTTCTCAACTGCCTAAACGAGCGAAAAATGGAATTCTGGGATTAAAAAATACAGAGGAAACTGTGGAAGAGCAGCTATGTGGGACAAATTCAAGTGTTATTTCAAATTCACAAAAAGAAAGAGCAACAAAACCGAATAACCCACCATCCCTTTAGGAATTTTCCGACCTTGTTGTAACGACTTTTTAGAGTCTATATACGTTGGATAAATCACAACCCATCGTTTTTCGTCCGAGAATGGTTTCGCTTTTACGTCCACCATACTCTGGAAACCTTGAGGGAATTCATACTCACTTCGTTAAAGTGGAATGTAAATCAGGAAGTATGTCGAAAAAAGCAACGCGTAACAGAACTAAAAAGCCGCTATCTTCAAGTAAGTGGTTCTGGAATTATCCGTCGACGAAGATAAAAGGACAAAACTGAAAATAAGTGAAAATTTAATATAATAAAAAATTTATTAGATAAAAGCAGACAACATTTGGCGAATGAAAAATTCCAACAACTGCTGGCATGGTTTCGAGCGCGCCTAAACTGGAACTCGGAGCGTTGTTCGTTGACGTGTCGTTCGAGGAATACACACTGGGCGCCACACCTGAAAAAATTCAGATGGTCTGTTGGGCCGGGTCTTTGGTATCCTAGGAGCGTTAATGACATATATACTTGCGAATATATTCACTGAAAACCCTGGTTCGGTCAGCTTGACGCCAGCATTTACCAGCACTTGAACGTTCCTTTGAAAAAGAGAGGAAACTGAGCGGGTTATTCTGAGCCGGAGGGCTTATTGCCTTTACAATCGATCTATTTTTACTCTCGGCTCCTCGTTCGTGTTGTTTGATTCGTAGATTGACTGCACGTTCATATAATGCCTTATTTGGTCAAGCCGAGCCGCCATGACAGGTGCGCACGGCTGTCGGACGGGGTCATTTGACCCCGTCGACCAAAATCGGGCGTTTTTTCACCATGGATACCGCATTATCGACAGTTTTATATCTTCTGTTTATTTCGATAGCCCTCAATTGATGTCTGAACGTTTTCTTTGTGATGATTCGCTGTGAATTTTTAGATTGGCAGGACCTAGAAAATTTCCTCTCATTTCCAATGCATTGGATATTGAGACGTTTGGTCCCTCTGAGGAGCTTCAGGTCTTTGTTTTTGTTTTCCTGCAATAGCCCACCGCTGGCCGGGAGATGGTGGTTTTTTCATGGCCTCATTCATCGCTCCTTGAGTATCTTTGATTGCCTCTCGCCTACACTCTTTCACGCTCTCTTTCTCTGAGTTTCTTACTCTCTCCTCCAACAGTGGCATATTTTCCCATAGTACTGACTGAATGGAGATTTCTGAATAAGAAATTTTTGGTTCGCCTAGGGAACTTTTCCGGCGCTGCTACATTTAAGCGAACCACAGGGTAGCGCGACTGTATAGGTGGGAATGCGCAGAAAGCTGAGAGAACTTTGAGAGACCTTTGCTTCTTTCCATCTTTTAGGTATCCCCTTCCCCTCCATTGAGTTGAGTGGAGGGCTGGAAGTTGAAGGGAGGCGCGTGAGATAGGATCCGAATGAACAATAGTTCATCCCAAATATGACTGTGTGTTTTCCCACTTCCAAGTTACCAGCAAAGTCCTACATCCTTAAAGGCAGTTGGCACGATAATTTGGTACTCGGCCTAAAATGCTAGCAGGGCGCTACATAGTGGAAAATCGCGAAAGAACGGTCAAAAAGCTGCAAAAAAGAAGCCTTCGTTCTTAATGACTTGAAAATCAATTTCGGACGAGTTTGCCGTGGGCATCTTGCCAATAACCGCTACCGAAGATAAGGCTGTGTACTCATATATCCATGCAGCACCGCGGCCGCTTCATACCAATCCTTCGCTTCATATTGCTTAGCAAATGAATCAATACGAGCGTCAGGAACGGTCGTCCATTTGTGGGCGGGCGGGCGTGGTGGGCGTTTGGGTCGGTATGTTGTAGCTTGATAGGGCCCTTATAAGGGTACCTTCCTTGGGAAGGGCGCTGCGCAGCGCCTTCTCAGGGGCGCGGAATTCCGTCCTGCCAGGCATATTATCCTACTCGTCTTTGGGGATTTATCGTGCCAACTGCCTTCAAGTTCATTACACCTTGTACAAAAATCCTCTATAGTACTTTTTATAATGAAGTAATATCGCCTTTCTTGTACCTATTTCACCTCTTCGCGAGGGAGGCATTTGAATCCTTGGGCAAAACTGAAACTACCGTAGTGGAGATTTGGATTACTACACCAGACCAACTTTTCATTGGAAAGGCGTTCATCTTCTGTAAAAGCGCACACCATTTTATCGCCGATCCGGTTCCATCCCGTGCCTTTCTCGGCCGGAGCAATCGCCTGTGAGCCGTCAGCCATTTGTGTTATCCACATTCGTTCGGCGACACGATTTTGGACGCAGTTTCTGCAGGGGTGGCTTCACGCTCTATTTGCCATGCCT